GGACCAAACTACTGCAACAGTGCATGTGTACGAACAGTTGCGTAGGCCAGATTCTTCCAAAGGCGGCAAAGGAGCAGGTAAAGGCAAAGGGCCTAATGCAGTTCCATCCCGTGATGAGATCGATTTCGCTCGAGCCGTGCCGCTTGGACAAAAGAAAGTTCCGCTTTCTGGGTCAGTGCATGGCGACCGGAGACCTAATATGTCGCATATTTTGTCTCGCCAATGGCTACGCCTAGACGCGCCAGCTATACGCCCAGGTCGTTGTGGCACTTTGCCTGTTTTTTTACAGGATGATCATGTTGGTTCTTCTAGTTCCGATGATCATGTTGCTCCTTTCTATTCCGACAACGCTCCACAAAATAGAGCAAGAGTATGCCTGTCTCTTTTTTCTAACTAGACAACGAGAAACTAAAAGGGAGACTGGCGGTTCTGAAAAATCATCATTCCTTGAACGCAATGCCTTTCTCAGATTGAAGACCACTCTTAGACATTGTAGAACTACAGTGTTCTCTGGAAAAATGAGGAGACGTGTGGAGGCATTTCCTCGCCTTCACAAAAGTTAAGTTTAAATTGGCAAAGTTAAGATCACTTATTCTTATGGATATGCGCGTCTCTACTCGGGTCGCTACGGAACCAGGCAGCTTTGAGTGAGTTGCTACGTGGTTCGAATGAATGAATGAATGACTACTACAAAAGGTTTTGTCAAAAGCTTGATGTGTGGTACTGAAGTGTGGTACTAAGAAAAACGGTCTGATGTTGTGCTGACTGAGAAGTTCTGCTCTTGGATCATGCCTACTTACTTGTAGTTCAAGTAGTACACCTAAAGAGTGCTGCTGAATAACAAGCAGAAGTAGTAGAAGAACCGAACTTGGGAAAGAAGAAGCAACACTAACAAACGACTTTGGAACTGGAATTGGAACTGTGGAAGTAAATGTCGGATGTTGATACTTCACATCCTAACACATCACAAGTAGACACTTACCATGACTTGACATAAAAAGTAGACACTTGTTCTTACATGACAGAACAAGAGGCACTTACATGACATGACATAGACGGAGGTAGAAAAGATCCTAGGATTTGTTACTTGGCGTTTCCGACGTAATCTGTAGTATCCAGGTCTACACCTGCACGTCTGGTGTAACAACAACTTACACAGATGAAATTATATCATTTTTTATATTCCTTCTTATAGATATAAGAACCTGCGAAGAACCTCATTCTTATAGATACAACCTGCGATAGCCTGCGATGATTCATTTGCGAACGTAGATTATAGATACAAGCTACCAAAACTTCCTCCGGAGTCTTTGGTCTGCATCTTCTGAGACAGATCTTCTTCTAAGACTGTAGTTGTGTAGCGATCAGGTGTTACACCAGTAGAGATCAGGAAAAGATGGGCTTCGATAGGTGGGGAAATTGGCACATCTGGTCCGACAGCTCTGAGAGCGAAACCTATTACGATCTCAACGGGCGCCCGATGAAGAAGATGAAGACGGCAGCGATGAAAGCGGCGCCAATGAAGAAGCCGCCGAAGAGCAAAGCAAGCAACGATCCTGAGGATTCGTTATGAAGTCGTACATCAGGCATACAACGTCAAAACAGATCTTTTGTGGGCTAGGTCAGCGGGAACTCTGTCGCGCCTGCACAGTCCAGGGGTGGCCCTGGGTCTGTTTGTTCCTCCGTTATCCAGCACCGCCGCTCGTTAGACGGCCGCATATAGTTGACTGATTGAGCCAGGTCGCCTTGATGTTTTCATCTCTCTAAACACCGGAGAAAACTCCGACAGCTCCGTGAGCAGCTACTCGCATTGTCACGGGATCAGTGCCACGAAAAAAGGAAAAGTATGTGGCATGCGATGGGACGTAACTTATGAACAGTGCAGAAATTCTGAAATATACAGCCACTCATGTCTAACCTAACCTAACCTAACCTAATATAACCTAACCTAACCTTTAGGCCCACACCTAACCTAACCTAACCTAATATAACGAAGAAGATACTAATGTTCGTTGAAGGTGATTATATCTTCCCAACTTGATTGTGCAAACAAGTACAAGCTGTTTCAATCTTGTGAACATCATTGTCATCAGGTGGCGGGAAGAAAGGTTGCAATTGAATGAACACAAGAACTTCAATATTTTTTTTAGGAGTGAGTACTTCTTCTAGATACTGCAAATTGATTCTCCTAAGCGACCTTCATGCCTGGACAGTCGATTCGGAGACAAGGCTTTTGTGAGAAGCACATAGACCAGAAAACAGGCGGCAGGAAGGTTCTTCACTACCGAGCTAAAAACGCGACGCCGGCTATAAGAGCAGAAAAGGCAAAGAGGAATTAAGACTTCTGAGTTTGTTTTAATGCATTTTTTATTAGTGTCGTAGAGTCCTCTATTCCATTATCTCAAGACGATCGATCATAATGACATGCTAGTATTGTCAATATATAAGAAACATTTTAATAATATGCTCTTTATGGTCTGTTTTACGTGTTGCGTTGCCGTAAGGCATAATATCCTCTTTTTGTCTTTATAGAGGCAGCATAGCCCACCCACTAGCATAAAGACTATCCTCTTTTTGTGGTCTTTATAGAACAGACTCCCCTTGTCTAAGCAAGAGAATTCGTGATCGCCGCGAGCGAAGGAAATTTGCAAAAGGTGAAGAAAATTCTGAAGGAGCATGACAAGCCGGATAAAGTGATCAACAAGAGAACCAACGGCGACAGCGCGCTAGCGGCAGCCGCGAAAAATGGAAAGCATGAGGTAATCTAAGTTCCGTTTGCAGCGTAATCTATAGGTAATCTAAGCATCTAAGTTCCGTTTGCAGCGTTGAGGTAATCTAAGTTCCGTTTGCGTTTCGAATGTTTTTGACTTCGTATTTACTTTTCAACCTGCTAGATATAAAGCATGATGTGTTGTGTGTTTCATTTTTAAGTACCTAGTCCTACTAGATCTTCATCTGTAGCTCCTTTTGGCTTGTCGTGCCTACTTCTATCTTCCATCTTCAACCGACGATGCAGAGGCTACTTCTGTCTTATTGTGCTTCTATCTTCAACCGACGATGCAGAGGCTACCTCTTGATTGATGCTTCTTGTACAGGTTGTCTGTGAGCTTCTGTTGCAAGGGGCCGACCCTCGATCACACATGGGATTGCAGAATAGAGCAGTAGCAGATATCACTGCGGGGATGATGGCGGAGGGAGCGCGTGGGAAATACACTGTCATCAATCAAATGCTGACACTAGCTTCGGACCACAGTTAAGAAAGAAGTTCAAGTTGTAGTATAATGGAAGGACTACAGGACGAAGCTTTCAACTACTGAGAAGGACAGAATGAAGCTTAGAAGGTCAGCTTTTATCGTCCATCTTTCTCGGCATCTTGGTGCCCTTTTGTTTCGCTTGTATTCTTTTCACGGGAAGAGAAGGGGCCGAGATGAGGGGAGCGAGATGGATAAAAGCTGACGCTAACACAGAGCCGTAATCGCATCCGTCAACAAAAGTGAGGCTCCAATACCCAAGCCTGTCAGGCGGAAGGCCGCCGATTTGAAAGTATTATACTCAATATAGACATGAGAAAATCAAAATTGAAACTCTTTCTTGACAGTGTTAGGTACTAGGCTTCCAAGTAGCATGACAGAAAGCTCTAATATCATAGTGTTAGAAGGTAGACACATTTCTTTGTCGTGTAGTGTGGGTTTAGGTTTACGTTAGTTTTGCTTTATTCGCTTCAGCTGCCCGAATTGAAAGAGCTGCTGAAGACGCTGAAGCTCAAGTGCACGGGTAATAAAAATGAGCTGGTGGAGCGTGTTCCGGAGGACGCTCTAGATGCTGAGTACAATACGAAGCTACAGGCTTACGACGAACGGGTGCAAGCGGCGAGACAGCGCAAACAGAACGCACAAAACGATCCGGTATATCTGTCTGTAGTCGACAATATCAGGAGAGTGTGCATGGGATCGAAAGCCACGAACACGTCAACAAGCGTTGGTGGCCCGGCCTCGTCCTCGACTGCAAAAGCATCTTCACCAATGCTAGCTGCGACAGCTCCTCCTGCAAAGAAGAATTATGGTTGCTGGATTCTTTGATTAAGTACTTTGTTGTTGTTGTTGCATCATCCGGCCATCTATCATGCTCACTTCAACATTAGAGCTAGAACTTTATAATATCCGGAACTTTACATCCTTATCCAGAACTTTTTATGCAAGGAGCAAAGCCAAAGGTAAAGACTCTTTTCTTTTGACTTATAAAAGTGTTATTTTTTTTTCATAGTGGGCGGCGTGCAGCTGCAACATCCCCTGGAGGAGGGTCCTCTTCGTCCTCCGACATATCGATTTCCTCTTTGAGCGGAAAAGGTGCATCCGCGGCAACTTCATCCGCGAAAAAAGGTGCGAAGGCTGGAGGGAAGGGAAAAGCTTCGTCGCTCAAGACTGCTTCCGGTACCCTGCCTGTGATCAAACAGAATGGGAGTACTTCTTCAAAAGGAGCCACCACGTTGAGTAAAGGACCATCTTCAAGTCCGAAGATTGCCAAAGGTGCAACTGCCACATCAAGTAAAACAGCGACTACGCAGATGCCCCAGAGTGCAAAAGGCACTACGACATCAAGTAAAACAGCGTCTTCGAGTTCCAAGACTGCTACGTCAAATAATAAAGGTGCAACTACTACTAGTGCAAATTTAGGTAAAACAACGGCGATGAAAGCAGCTCCGACAACGTCACCATCAACTGCTTCTTCCAAGGGAGGCACCGGGAAGGCAACTGCCTCCTCCAAGGGAGGCACCGACGAGAAGCCAACGCCAACCACAGTGACACAAGGAGGTAAAAAAGGTGCGAGAAGCAAGACCGCTGCTTCGGAGCCGTCGCCGCAGCTGATGAAAGGCCCTTTCGATGAAGGATCTAGAACGGATAAAACTGATGTAGGCAAGGACACGACTGCAAAAGAAGTGCTGGAAACGGACACTGCTGGACAAACTGTGCTCGGCAAAAAGGACGTTGCTGTTGAGGCTAAGGCAGAATCCGCGCAGATAGCAAATGGTGCTGGAGCCGCCGCATCAAGCCTCAACAACACACTTGTCAAAGAGCAGTTTCCTAGCAAATCGCCGAAGGCCGATGAAGGGACGATGCTGGGAAGAGAGAAGCTCGCATCTTCAAATGCACGCTCTAATGCTGTGAAAGACGAGGACAAACGCGCAGGACCCACTGGTGATGCAGGATCTACTAGTGGTACCAAAACCGACGCACCAGGACAAGCTGATAAAAAGAGCACCAAAAATGATCATGACGTTCGAGGTGTCTTTCCCTCTTCCGCGCCAGGTAAGAAAGGCGCAGGAAACGCTCTTACAACCGGCGATGCAGAGGGAAGGGCCGTTCCTTCCACGAAGCCGAAGGCTGCACCTCACTCTGCCACTCTAGCCACTGCTAGCAACAAACCAGATGCTGTTGCTGGAGGGTCTACTTGTGCGAAAAATTCTTCGAAGAAGCAGGATGGGCTGGAGAGGGGAGCGCCGAGTGGTGCTGAAGCGACAACTGTGGGAACAACATCAACTGTGGGAACAAACCCTTTTCATGTCGCATCAAACAACCCGTTTGAGGTCGAATCAAGAAACCCGTTTGATACGACAATTAGTAACTGGGATCTACCAGGTTCGCCATCAACTGGTGACGTTGACAAGACGGATGTTGACAAGACGGATGTTGTCAAGGGGTCAGTGGATACTTCTAAGGAGTCAGAAGATAATCAAGCTCCTGCTGCAACTACCACAGAGGTGGACATCAAAGATGATACAACAAGCAAAGGCAGCACGGGGCCAAACGCTTCGATTGAGAAAGCTGCCACAGACATGAAAGATGGGACGTCGCACTGTGCAACAGGAGCTCCGCTAACCACAGCTAAAAGTACTGCGCCTGCTGGTACGACAAGTGATGGCACGGGACGTGCGCACGTTCCGAAAGCGCCGGTAGTAGCTCCTCCGCCGCCGCCTCCGATGGACTGCGGTGCACCTCCAGCAATGACGGGCTTCGATTTCCATCTCCAACGTGCTGCTGTGCCACAGCAGCACGTTTTGCATCCTTTTCACGACAATAAAGCCAGCATGGCACGCGGCATCCCGTTAGCTGCTATGTCACAGCGAAACACTTGTTCTATGTTCGTGCAAAATCACAACGATAATAGTGCGATGTTGATGAATACGGGTCCGGCTGCGGGTCCGGGTGCTCCTAACATGCCGTTAGGTGCCTCTAACATGCCATTAGGTGGAGCAGGACCTCTTAATCCTTTACAACCTCTACAACAACACGGCAACATCAACTTCTACAATACCAATGCTTCTCCCATCCTTCCTCCCGGTCCTGCTTACTGGCCACAGAAAGGGGCGCCGCCCGCAAATACTGGAGGGTGGCATCAGCAGAGTGTCTCGAATGTGAGCACGTACAATTATCAGGGATCAACATATCAGAGTGCGAAGAACCACAACAGGAACAACACAAATGATTATTCTCAATCAGTCAGAGGAAGCGACCGCGCCGGTGGTCAGGGCCTGCCATTTATAGGAGGTGCACCGCCACAGGCCCCTGGCGCCGAGAACAATTCGCTCACGAGGAAAAACGCCGCGATCCATAGCAACATGAACGATCCTACGAAGACAAGCAAGAACGTTAGTCACGCCGATTACATCTTGTGGAAACACGGCTACACTTCACATAGTAAGCATGATCAGAAGCTCCTGTACGAGGAGACGACGAAGAAGGACTACGAGGAGACGACGAAGAAGGACTACGAGGAGACGACGAAGAAGGACGACGGAATCAACAACTACGACCCACCTCGTCGACAGTATGACACAGCGAGGACGAAGGACAACAACAATAACAACAAGAGCTACAACAATCTGGCCAGGTTTAAACACCAGTATGCTGACAAGCATCTTCAGTATGACAATATTACGAAAAAAAAGGAACAAGATCAGGGGTACCTCAGTCGTCCAAAGGACGACTACCGCAGTCGTCCGAAGGAGGATCGCTTTACTCGCCGCTCTAGATCTCGTTCGAAACGACGCATGTCAAAACGACGATCTCGAGAACGCAATGCCGACCGCTACAGCAGCAATGCCGATCGCTACAACAAACGTGACTACAACACTGAGGCAACAGGATACAATGCCGAGGGAGCGAGAGGATACAACACCGAGACACGAGGATACAACGCCGAGGCAAGAGGAACCTACATTAAGGGGGATGCCGAATGCATCATTTCCAAATGAGTCCTCTGGGGAAGAGAGAACAAAACTACTTTTTCTTTGAAATCATGATTTTCTTGCGATTGTACAGTTGTTAAGCTTATTCTTCTTAGACGTAAATGCGTATCTCTCTCTCCCGCTAGTGTTAGCAGATAGGAGGAAGCTTGACGATAGTTACCCTTTTTCTCTTTTCTATCTTCCTCTGGTCTTTCTTTTTAGGTCGGCTCCACCACGACTATTAGGCTCGTCGCACATACGAGGGGGAGCACGAATTTCAGGCAGATGTCTCTCTTTCAGAGTTCTAATGATTGAGGAAGCAATCGCGGAGGAACTGGTCGCCGGGACAGCAGAGGACGTAGAGGAACTTCTAGGGAGCAACATTACGACGTCGACTCGAAGAAATACCATCATCAATCTAGTAGTTACGACGACGACTCGAAGAAATACCATCGGTCGGGAGGCTTTTCCTCATCTACTTCTGCATGGGGTGGGGGTGTAGCTGAGCAGTACGCGAATGGACGCTCAGCTCGATCGCGGGGTGGCGATACAAGGTCGTCTTCAGCAGATATACGTTCGCGTGCTATGAAAGATGCCAGACATGATCTTGGTGCAGATGCCGGAGCAGGTCGTGGAACAGGTGTCAGATATAGCCGGGATGAAGCTACAATTAGGGAAACTCTTCCGTACAATGTGGCTGCAAATGTTGTCGGAACCGCATACGGGATTTCGAGAGATACAACCAAAACTTCCTCGACGTATTATACTGGAGGAACTAGTACGTACCATACTGGCGGACGAGCCAGTGGCTCTATTCGTGGTGAGCAGACACATAGTTCTACTAAAAATGACCCATGGAACACCGGAGGACAACTAGATAATAACTCTTCACAACAACTACATGTTGATACTTCTTCTGACTGGAGGTTTGCCGCACGAGGACAAGAACATGGAGGGGGCGCACAACCACAGCAGCCTGGAGGACAGCAGCGATTCAACGCTTATGATTATGGCCCTCATTTGGCAATCATTTGTTCCTCGTATGGTGTCTTCAACCCGCATGTAAATCCTCCTTACAAGAATTCTAGTTGTCTCGAAGAAATAGCATAATAAGAAACTCTCTAAAGAGAAGATAATAACGCTTCCGCCACTGCTGGTAGTGCTGCAGCAGGAGGGTGGAACTTAGGCGCACCAGGAAACAACAGCAACAACCATGATGGAGATAGCTCATGGAAAAATTATCACATTGCTCCAGCGTCGCACGAGAACTCGTGGACTCCTGGTGCTGAACGAGGAAACTATAACACCATGTCGAACCTTCAGTATAATGTTCACAAGTACCGGAACGACAATCAGTGAGGATGTCCGTAGAGAAGAGCAAACCTTCGACGAAGTGAATTTAGACCTATTGACTGTGTTGAGTTTTAACAAAACAGTTTCAAGATCTCGAAGATGAGGAGTTGTGCGAAATGCAACAATTTTGAATAGTATTAGAAGTCAGGTACAACAACTCGTGAATCATCGTTGTATACCTGATTTAGAGGTGGAGGCTGCACTAGCCGTGTAGTACTACATCGTAAACTTATAATTGGAAGGTGGAGGTTGCACTAGCCGTGTAGTGCTACTAAATTGGACTTTAGCTTTGTGCGGAGAATCAGTGTCTAATCATAGCGGTAATTACAAAAAAATTGAAACTTCTCTTGACTGTAACCAAGCATTCGAAAAAAAGAAACTGCTTTACATTGGAGAAGCTCCTGTATGTAAAAAGAGCTCTTCGAAGACGAAGCTTTATAGTTTAAATTTGTTGATCGACTGTGGCACAAGATAAGATCGAACTATGGACGATTGGTCCGTTTTGTATTGCCTACTTCTAGTACTTCTGTTTCTATTTCTTTTCTTCTAGTACTTTTTATGAATGAATGAGTTTCTGTGTCCATCTCTGTGGTACTTCTGACTGTACCTCCGATGTACGTACACATCTCTGCACTCAGCTAACTTCCTGTACACCATAGAACGAAGAATTCACCAAAATCATAGCTCGATGCAGAGAACCCAAATAAGAGACCACTGACACGACCCAAGCCCAACGACCCATGAACATGAAAATTTGCCTTGATGATTGTGAATGCAGGTCTGATATCAGCCCTGTCAATTTTCTAAGCACTAGCTTTGATCTGCTAAGTTCTTTCCGAAGATAGCCACCTGCTGATGCCACCGGTTCATCTGTATTTTCGCATATATCTCTGTACGATCGGAACAATGCAGCTTGATTAAAAAGGGGGAGAGCGTCCCATCGCTCTCCCTCGCCGATCCTTATATCTCCCGCCCGCTCTTAGCAGAGAAGTGGCTAGCAGGCATAAGGTAGCCCCTTTGGTAGGAGTAACTTCTCCGGTTTCTGTTTTTCTTTTTGGGTATTTTATGGCGATTGCGGAAGCGGGACCCGGTTGAGGATGGTGCACGCCGCGAAGGAGGGAGCGCGAGGCAGTGAAGATAAGAGACACTAGGTTCGTGCTCCCTCATCAATGAAAAACATGTTGTACTTAGGGCCTTACGCCAGTAGGCATTTACTTCTAGTTGTTCACTTGTCAGTTGATTGCGCATTAGTCAAGAGTTAGCAGGGTTGGCATCCCCTGCGCTCGTGCCTTGAAGGTAGGCGTATAAGAGTGGGACGGTTGGCAGCCGGTGGAGG